ATTTGAAGATGTGTCAAATGCCTTGATGTATTATGAAATGAGGCATAGAGATAAGAATCATGATAGTGCATCTGAAGCTTTATTTGTTAGAGGTAGATCATCAGAGATGAGATCTTTCTCTAGTAAGAAAAAAATCACTTTCTTGACCTAGAGGAACTTCTAAAGGTAGAAAAAGTTTGGAAAGGGATGAATGTGCTTTTTGTCATAATAAAGGCCATTGGAAGAAAGATTGTCCTAGGTTGAAGACTAAAGGCAAAGTGAGTTCTGAAGCTAATGTTGCTGAGCTTGAAAATGATTTTTCTGATTTGGCTTTAACCGTTTCCTCATCATTTGATTGTGCTACTAAGTGGGTATTGGATACAGGTTGTACTCATCATATGACTCCTCATGAGGATTGATTTTCAAGCTTGAAAGAGTTTGATGGTGGTGTTGTTTTCATGGGAGATGACAATCATTGCACAACAAAAGAGATCGGTACAGTTCGTTTGAAGTTGCATGATGGCATGGTTAAAGAGTTGACAGGTGTTTAGTATGTAACGAATTTGAAGAAAAATCTTATTTCTATGGGCATTATAGAATCCAAGGGTTTCAGGTTTCATTCAAATGGGCAGACATTGAAAGTTACTTATGGTGCACTTGTTGTGATGAAAGCTCCTCGATGTGGTTATTTGTATTTATTGCAAGGAAGCATCGTGACAGGTGAAGCGTCTATAGTCTCAGAAATATGGGCACATTTGATTCAGATACTACTAGACTATGGCATATGAGATTAGGCCATGTCGGTGAGAGAGCTCTAAAAGGGCTTGTGAAACAAGGTCTTCTAAAAGGTGCCACGACTTGTAAGCTTGATTTTTGCAAGCATTGTGTCTTAGGGAAGCAAACTAAAGTGAAGTTTGGTATTGCAGTACATCAGACGAAGAGCATTCTTGATTATTGATAAGAGCATTTTTATGCGACTTAATTGGCTTGTTCTCATGCATTTGTGTTGTTTTTCCTTAGTTAGTTTAGTGTTTAAAGTCATTTTCGTGCAATTTCAGGTTTTATTGTCAAAGTATGCAAAAATGAGCATTTTGGAGCTTTTAGGAGCAAAATTGGGCTTGGAATGAAGTGCATATGCATGGAGCAAGGAGTTTGGACGAAATTGAAGATCAAATGAGGCTAGGAACATGCTAAAAATCTGGTGAAACAAATACAAGTTGCAAGAAGGGATAGGTTTCTAGAAGGATTGACCAAAATTTCACTCAAAACTATGCCTACCCCAGAAATTCATCAATGCCGTGGGTATTGACTCACTTCCACCAGAAATTTGAGTGATTGTTCAATACCTAACCCACTAGGAAATTGAGTAGATGATTCATCTCTAAAAACACATTGCCGTGCATCCTTGTTGCTTTCCACCAGAAATTTGAGTGATGATGCAATGCCTAACTCACCATGACATTTGAGATGATGCAATGCCTAACTCACCATGACATTTGAGTGGATGATTCATCCCCAACTCAACAGAAAATGAGTGGATTGTGCACAGAAATTGAGTGGATGATTCAAGACCTAACCCACCATTATCCTCCACTTCATGCCGTGTGCATCCTTATTGATTTCCACCAGAAAATTGAATTAAACAAGTCCATCATCTCCCTATAAATACCCATGGCAGCAGCCTCATTGAAATCATCCAGAAATTAACCATTCTCCAAGCCTTGCCTTGCCTCTCCCTACATATCTAAACTCATTCCCATCCATTCCTCCACATAACCAACCCTTCAAAACATCACTCCAACCTTGTGTGCAGCAAAGAAGAAGAGGAAAGTTCTTGTACGTGCTTGCTATCCAACATGGATCGTTGGAACGTTTAGGTGTTTTCTTTCTTTTGTTTTCAATGTATAATTCTGTTTATCTTTGTTTTGTGAACATGAGGAACTAAACCCCTATTTAGTTAGGGGGAAGTTTGAAGCCATGAACATGCTTGTGATATGAATTGATTTCTTCCAATTGTGATTTGATAAGTTGTGATTGCAATTCAATTATCTATTTTCTTCATAACTGATTCTTGTATGTTTATTAAGGATGATGCATACTTAGTTTTCATACATAAATTAGATGCTAGAATATAAATGAGTTTCACCTAATTGTTACAAGTTTATATTCATGAGTAGTGAAGGTTGCTTGTCACAATCGCGTTAATTGAATTCTTGGCAAACGTATCATGCATTCATAGTTACAATTGCCTCGTCAACACTTATGATTTTCATTGAACGTAATGATCTCTGATTGTATCTCTATTATGCATTCATATAGGGGACTTTTAGAGAATAATTTGGATTGTCGCATGCATTCATCCAATTCAATAAGTAAAGGAAAATTTGAGGGTTAATTTGTGCATCACGGTCAATCTGGGGTGTTGAGCATCATAGTTTATTGAAAAGCAATTGGAAATCGATTCATGTACAAGTGTGTCATGTGTGAAGAACGGACCTCTAACTAATCCATCCATCATCTTATTTCTCAAATTCGTTTTACAATCTGCCTAGCTAAAAATCTATTTAAGTTTTAGTTTATTTGTTTTACTTTCAACTTCACCAAACCCAAATCCCCCTTTTACTTTCTTGTTTTAAAGTCTTTTGTTTACATTTTTAACTTTGTTTTGTTTTTGAGTCAGTTTAGAGGTTTTAGCAAGCCCTCCTAATCCCCGGTTTAGAACGATCCCTACTTATACATATACTACAATTGTCAAAAGAGGGTTTAATTTGTGTGCTTATATTATTCGCATCAATTATGTGCATTCAGATGTTTGGGGTCCTACAAAGATTCCCTCTTTGAGTGGTATATATTGGTTCGTGACATTTGTTGATGATTATTCTAGAAGATCTTGGGTCTACAATATAAAGCACAATAATGAGGTGTTGAGCATTTTCTTGAGTTGGAAGAAAATGGTTGAGAACCAAACTGGGAGAAAGATTAAGATTTTGAGATCGGATAATGGTGGTGAATACACATCCGACCATTTCTTTAAAGTTTGCAAAGAGGAAGGGATTGTTTGGCATTTTAGTGTTCAGGGAACTCCACAACAAAATGGAGTTGCAGAAAGATTAAATGGAACCTTGCTTGAGAATGTTAGATGTATGTTGTCTCAGTCGGGTTTGAGCAAGTCATTTTTGGCAGTGATCCCATTTTTTTCATCGGGTCGGGGTAGAGACCAAAGGTCTTGAGCGACCGATCCGGCAGAACAACTCAAAAGATAAAGAAGTATCGTTAATTTCTTCATGCTCGTTCCAAGTTCGAAGTACCATTTGTACAAATAAGAATCACCTTCGTTACACGATTTTCTTCTTCATATAGATAGATATAGGATCTATGGAGCAATTACTTAGAAGTACATTTTGTGCAACAGCCCTTCCTATCTGATAGAAAAGGATCCCATGATCCTGAACCGATCTTACTTGGGATCTCAAATCCCAAGTTTGTCTATGAAGAGCATATCTAATTATATTAGTGTCTATAATTGATTTCTTTTGTGTAATACTAATCGATAGGGCCTCATTGGTAAGTGCTACAAGATCTCGTACATTGGAACCCATGGTTATGGACCCGAATCCATTAGTATGGAACATTTTCTTTTCCAAGTGAAATCCCCTAGTATATGAAAGAGTGAAAAAGTGCTTTCGTTGTTGTGGAATAAGAAGCCTTCGTATCTTAATGCATGTATTTAATTTATTCGGAGCTATTAGAGCAGGATCCACTTTTTGGGGAATATGAGTCAATACATAGAGTTGAACATAGTAAAATAAGAAATTGTTCGTTTGGAAATTTCCCGAAAAGCTAATCGTAGGTTCTTCTCTCCATCGGAACAAATAGGGCCGTTATGCTCATTACTAAACTTGTTGAAGAGATGAAATATAACCAAGGTATATCTTTTTTATCAGAGGTTGAATCGATCATCAGAAGAAGAATTAGGCCAAAAATTAGGATACATTATGGGAAAATAAAACTTCCATTGAAGAGAAGCAAATGAAAGGCTTTCATAAAAATTCTCGTAGAATCGAGAGAATGAAGTTTTCATTCTGTACATGCCAGATCATGAATTAGTAACTGCATCCAATCTCCAAAAAATTCCAATTCTTTCGAACTTTCTCTTTTTGGAATGGAATTTTTTACGGAATCCCCATGAATAGGATCAAACCCTATTCCATGGTATTTACATGAGATTCCTCTTTCTTATTCTTAAACAAGTCCCCGAGAGGGCTTAGTTGATCCACGATTTATGTTTCGTCTTTCGTTTCCTTTTCGTTTGTTTCGAGAAATATATCGATCAATTCCAATTCTTTCTTTTCTATTGATTCTTTTCTGATCGAGATGTATGGATCCATGGGTCTATGTGTTACTTTTGCATGTCACATCATTAACCGGTTACCCTCAGTTGCTGTTCAGGGTAAAACACCAATGGAGGTATGGACTGGAAAACCTTCTACTGATTATGATTATATTTGTATTTTTGGTTCGCCTGCTTATTTTCATGTGACTGAAAATAAACTTGATCCTAGAGTCAAAAAGGCTATCTTTCTTGGTTTAGTAGTGGTGTCAAAGGTTACAGGTTGTGGTGCCCAAAGATGAAGAAACTTGTCAGCAGAGATGTGACATTTGATGAAGAAAGTATGTTTAAAGACTCTAAGAAGATTGTGAAAAATGTCCAATAGGTAGAGCTTGAGAAAATTGCCTTTAGTACTTCAAATCCTATTTCTACTAATGTCGAAGCCACTACAAGTGAAGAAGTGGGAGACCAAGAGGATGTTGAAGAAGTTGAACTTGAAGATTCTATTATAGATGAAGAGCAAGTTTCACTTCACGAGTCTATTACCAAGATTAGAGGAAAAAGAGATATTACCAAGCCAACTCGGTATAGTGATTATGTTTCTTTTGCTCTTCCTATTATCACTGATGAGATTCCATCCAATTTTGAGGAAGCTATTGAGAGTGAAGAAAAGGAGAACTGGTGCAATGCCATGGATGACGAGATAAATTCTATCTTGAAGAACAAGACTTGGGAGTTTGCTAAATTGCCTAAGGGTAAGAAAGCTATTGGTTGCAAATGGGTGTATGTCAAGAAGGAAGGTGTTGATGAGAAAAGCAATGTGAGATTCACAGCAAGATTAGTTGCTAAAGGGTATGCACAAAAGGAGGGCATTGACTACAATGAAATCTTTTCTCCGGTTGTGAAGCACTCCTCAATTCATATTATGTTAGCTCTTGTTGCACAATATGATCTTGAGCTTGTGCAACTCGATGTGAAGACGGCTTTCCTACATGATGATTTGAATGAAGAGATCTATATGTGTCAACCGGATGTGTATAAAGTGAAAGGGAAAGAGAATTTGTTTTGCAAGTTGAAGAAATCACTTTATGGCTTGAAGCAATCTCCAAGACAATGGTATTTGAGGTTTGATAAATTTACGAGAGGCCAAAATTATTCTAGAAGTCAATATGATCATTGTGTGTACTCTAAGAAGTTGCAAGATTGGTCTTTCATTTATTTGTTGATATATGTTGATGATTAACAAATTGCCTAAAAAAATGCCAAAGAGATTGAGAAATTGAAGAAACAAATGAAGAACGAGTTCAAGATGAAGGATCTTGGTGAAGCGAAGAAGATCCTTAGCATGGAGATTATTAGAGATAGAGAGAAGGGTTTGGTATGCTTAAATAAAAGACAATATTTTGAGAAGTTGATTCGAAAGTTGGGAGTTCATGATTCAACCAAACCGATTAGTACCCCTTTGGCTCCTCATTTTAAATTGAGTTCTACAATGTCCCAAAACTGATAAAGAGAAGCTGCAAATGAAAAATATACTATATACAAATTTGGTTGGTAGTTTGATGTACGCAATTGTATGCTCTAGACTGGATATTGCTCATGCAGTTGGTATGATAAGTCGATATATGCATAATCTTGATAAAGAGCATTGGCATACAGCTAAGTGGATATTAAGGTATCTCCATGGTACTTGAGATGTTGGTTTATGCTTTGAGAGGGATGACTCTGGTATTGGTCACTTTGCAGTTGGTTATGTTGATTCAGATTATGCACGTGATTTGGATAAAAGGAAGTCTACTATAGACTATGTATTTACTATGGCTAAAGGGCCAGTTTGTTGGAGGTCCATTTTGCAGTCTTCTGTTGCCTTGTCCACTACAGAGGCTGAATATATGGTTGTTGCCGAAGCTATAAAGGAGGCCATTTGGATACATGGACTTATTAAATATTTGGGGATTGATCAGAAGCAGGTGGAGTTGCATTGTGATAGTCAGAGTGCCCTTTATTTGGTTAAGTATCAGGTTCATCATGCAAGGACCAAGCACATAGATGTGCGTTATCACTTTGTTCAAGAAGTTTTTGGTGAAGGGGATATCATTCTCCAAAAGATTCCAACTAAAGACAACCCCGCTGATATGTTGACTAAGGTTGTTGGTTTAGCCAAGTTTGTTCATTGCTTGAACTTGGCTCACATTCTGCCTATATAAAGAAGGCGTTGAGCAGTAGGAGTTTTGGAGCATTTGGCTCGCATGAGTTGTTTCTCTTGCTAGTATTTGGGAGTGGTTTTATTTTTATCATTGATTATGTTGGTTTGGCTCGTCATTGCACTTTCAGAATTTAGCCAAGGTAGAAATTGTTAGACTTGTGTCCAAATTCTATTGGGCTTCTCAGCAACCCATTCAATGGGTCTTTTTATTTAGCCCACATGTGCAAGCCACGTGAGGTGGCTAGGGTTTTACTAAGGCAGCAGTTGTTGCCATTTGTTTTGGAATACAGTAGAAAAGAAAAAGGGTGCCGCTGCCTCCATTTGAAGAGAAGAAAGAAAGGTGATTTTCTTTCTTTGTTGGTACTCACTCAATCAAAGTTGCATTTGTGTATTAGCTTTGAGCTTTGTATAGAGAAAAAATTATTCACTATATTTCTTTCTCTATTTGTTTCTTTGGTGAGTGAGAGCTTTTTGGTGTATTAGGGTTTGGGTTGTGAGATTGCCAACATTTTGTAAACTCCCATTTGGTTGATAGTGGATTATTGGATGAGCTCCTACTGCTCCGAGGACATATTCCAGTTACACTGACTGTTGAGGAACCTCGTTAAAATCTTGGTGTCTTTTATATTTTGTTCTTGCATTTCATTTGATATATTTCCTATGGGTTAGTTTGAGTTGGTTCCAATTGGTTTGGTGCTATCCTAGCACAACAAAGACTTTGTAGTTAATGTATGGTTGAGATTGATGAGTTTCTTTCCGTATGCATATGCTTAATATAGTGTTGGTTGAGGGAGGAGACATGGGATCTCATCCACTTCAACACCAGCCAAAGGTAACATGATTTCGATTTTGATCTATATGTTCCCTAGGCAATGTTTATGCTATGTCTCTTCCTACACCAGCATTCCACTTCATGAGCTAATTTATTTTGCATATAAAATCTCAGAGGACTCTATTATAATAACAATCATTAAATCATAATTAACATGTAGACATTGATCATAAATTAAGCGAGCGATAGAAAGAGTGGCATTGAGAGGCAAACACAAATTATCTCAAAGATGCTGATCAACATGTGTGATTACTTAATTATTCATCTTATTTTGCAGGTCCTTCTTCAATCACCATTGAGATGTAACATAATTTCGATTTGGATCTATATTTTCCCTAGGAAATGTCTAAACTATGTCTCTTCGACACCAGCATACCAACTCGTGAGCCAATTTATTTTGTGAATTATATCTTAGAGCATGCTTTTATAATTGAACAATCATTCAATTACTATCAATATATTGGACAACAATGTACAAATAAAATGTTTGACATTGCACGATTAGCATTGACACATCCTCCTCATCTGCTACAAATTATATTATGCTGATCAATGGTGATTAGTTTATTCATCTTATTTCCATAGTTGTTGTCAAAGAAGCAGGCAAGATCTGCAATATCCATTAATTTATGACCATGCATTTCCTTTACATATTGTAGAAAAATTGTATGTGGGAGACTTGATATATTGGACTGTTCCCTAAACCGGACAAAAACCAGCACAATTATCTGAGTCTTCCATGTGAGTGCCATTTATTAATTAATTTCACTGATAATTTGTTAATTTTAATCTATTATTTATAATTTCCTTTGTTGAATTAAAGATGGACTAGATTTGAATCCAACTAAGTTGTTTTCATTTTTTTTGCAGTCCTCAAAGTGTTTTACCAGAGAATACTTCAATAGATAGTAATTCAAGTAAGTTGAGGAGAAAAGTATTAATTGAGTATTGTGAAAGTATATATAGTTCATGTATGTCTCATTCCTGCACAAGAGTTTTGGAGTAATCATCCCGTACTAATTGAATTTTCTCATCTGGTGTTAGAGGATGCTGAGAACTCCACCTGTGTAAGTTTATCTTACATTGCCGGTCCCAAGCACGGATAAAGGAGGAGGGGGAGGGCGTCAGGTAGTCGACAGCTGGCACTCCTCAATTACGTCGAATCCTTATGACAATGAATCTAGAACGAAATCGCGCTAAAGCTAGAACGTCACCCGTAAGTGGCGCGCTGTGTGGCCCGAGCACAGTGATAAGTGAGCAAGGGTCGCTGTATCTCCATCGGCACCCGGATGCAGTGTTAAATGAGCAAGGGGGCCATTGAAACTTCTTTTCGAACGACTCAACTCAAAGTTGTTTGGGAGCATATGCTCCTATCAACTATACACAGGACACACAAAAGAAGTACTTTGATCCTATTAGACGGGGGATCGTGAAAAAGATAGGACAGAAGGGTAGAGTTCAAGAGAGTAGAATGCGTTTAGGAACGTGGAATATAGGAACCTTAACGGGAAAATCTATGGAAGTAGTGGAAGTTATGGTGAGGGGAATGATAAATATTATGTGCCTACAAGAAACTAAGTGGGTTGGTCTTAAGACAAAGGATCTAGAAAACTCAGTGTTTAAGCTTTGGTATTCGGGCACAAATAGAACGAGAAACGGTGTTGGCATCATTGTGGACAAGACCTTGACACAAGATGTTGTAGATGTCAAGAGGGTAGGAGATAGAATCATGGCAATCAAGTTTGTAATAGGACAAGAACTCATCAATGTGATTAGTGCGTACGCACCTCAAGTAGGGTTGGATACGAGTTCGAAGGAGAAATTTTGGGAAGACCTTGGAGACTTGGTGCAAGGAATTGCTCAGACGGAGAAGTTATTTATAGGAGGAGATTTAAATGGACACGTGGTCAGGGAGACAGGCAACTATGGAGATTTTCATGGTGGCCATGGTTTTGGGGAGAGAAACGAGGATGGGGAAGCTATCTTGGATTTTGCAATGGCATATGATCTCTTCTTAGCCAACACCTTCTTTAAGAAGAGAGAAGAACATGTGATCACCTACAAGAGTGGGTCGTCAAAAACACAAATAGATTTTCTTCTAATGAGGAAAGGGGATCGTATAACTTGTAAGGATTGCAAAGTTATACCGGGGGAGAGCTTGGCTAATCAACATTGCTTGTTGGTGATGGATGTACATATCAAAAGAGTGAGAAAAAAGAACAAGACTTGGAAGTGCCCAAGGACTAGAAGGTGGAATCTAAAAGGAGAAAAAACAAGTCATTTTCAAAGAGAAAGTAATCACTCAGTGTGTGTGGGATAGAGAGGGGGAAGCTAGCCAAATGTGGGATTCCATGGCTAGCTGTATCCGAAATGTAGCAAAAGAGGTATTAGGAGAGTCCAAGGGCTTTGCTCCACACCAAAAGGAATCTTGGTGGTTGAATGAGGAGGTACAAACAAATGTGAAGGCTAAGAAGGAATGTTGTAAAGCCTTATACAAGGATAGGACATATGAAAATGGTGAAAGGTATAGAAGAGCGAAGTAAGAGGCGAAGAAAGCTGTGAGAGAAGCTAAGTTAGCGGCTTATGACGATATGTATAAGCGACTAGATACCAAAGAAGGAGAGTTGGATATCTATAAACTAGCTAGAGCAAGGGAAAAGAAGACAAGGGACCTAAACCAAGTGAGGTGCATCAAGGATGAGGATAGAAAGGTTCTTGCTATAGAGAACGCGGTCAAAGACAAATAGAAAGGTTATTTTCATAATCTTTTCAATGAAGGACATGAAAGGAGTACTTCTTTAGGGGAGTTGAGTAACTCAGAAGAGTGTAGAAACTACTCCTGTCGAATCAGGAAGGAAGAAGTGGTTGTAGCTTTGAAGAAGATGAAGCATAGAAAAGCAGTGGGCCCAGACGATATACCGATTGAAGTGTGGAAAGCCTTGGGAGAGATAGGTATAGCATGGCTGACTGACCTTTTCAATAGGATTTTGAAAACGAAGAAGATGCCAAACGAGTGGCGAAAGAGCACCTTAGTGCCTATTTACAAGAATAAGGGCGACGTACAAAATTGCATGAACTATAGGGGTATTAAGCTAATGAGTCATACAATGAAGCTCTGGGAGAGAGTCATTGAGCATAGATTGAGGCAAGAGACACGGGTTTCGGACAACCAATTCGGGTTCATGCCAGGGCGCTCAACCATGGAGGCAATCTATCTCTTACGAAGATTGATGGAAAGATATAGAGATGGGAAAAAGGATTTACACATGGTCTTTATAGATTTGGAAAAAGCGTATGATAGGGTCCCAAAAGACATTCTTTGAAGGATTTTAGAGAAGAAAGGAGTACGAGTATCATATATTCAAGCTATAAAGGATATGTATGAAGGAGCAAAGACTGCCGTAAAAACTCATGAAGGACAAACCGAAAGCTTCCCCATAACTGTAGGATTACATCAAGGCTCATCCTTAAGTCCTTACCTTTTGCGTTGGTAATGGATGAGTTAACATGACATATTCAAGATGATATTCCTTGGTGTATGCTTTTCGCAGACGATATAGTGTTGATAGATGAAACTCAGGAAGGGGTAAATGCGAAGCTTAACCTTTGGAGAGAAGTGTTGGAATCTAAAGGTCTTCGCCTACGCCAATCAAAGACAGATATATGGAGTGCAAGTTCAGTGCAAATGGAGGCCAAAATGAGTTAGGGGTGAGGATCGGAGATCCGGAAATACCAAAGAGCGACCGTTTTCACTACCTAGGATCTATCTTGCAAAAGAACGGAGAATTAGATGGAGATCTCAACCATAGAATACAAGCTGGATGGATGAAGTGGAAGAGTGCATCCGGCGTGTTGTGTGATCGTCGTATGCCACTGAAGCTTAAGGGAAAATTTTATAGGACGACAATAAGGCCGGCGATGCTGTATGGCACAGAATGTTGGGCGGTGAAGCATCAACACGTACATAAAATGGGTGTAGCGGAGATGAGGATGCTTCGTTGGATGTGTGGGTACACGAGAAAGGATAAGATTAGGAATGAGGATAGCCGAGGTAAAGTAGGAGTAGCCGAAATTGAAGGAAAGAGGAGAGAAAATCGGTTACGGTGGTTTGGACATGTGCAAAGAAGGCCTACTGACGCTCCGGTTCGAAGATGTGACTATGAGACAGAGGTTCAGGGCCGAAGGGATAGAGGAAGACCTAGGAAAACTTTGGAAGAGACCCTAAGAAAAGACTTAGAGTACTTGGATCTAACGGATGACATGACACAAAACCGAGCGCAATGGTGTTCTAGGATTCATATAGCCGACCCCACTTAGTGGGAAAAGGCTTTGTTGTTGTTGTTGGTGGTGGTGTTAGAAGATCCTGAGACGAAAAACTCTGGATTGATCACACAGCTTCATACGTATTCAAGTAAATCTTCGAGATCTTGTATGCAGGACTCCAAATTTTGTAGTGGGTTCTATACATTCTGGATAATATCATCAGATTCTTTGGTCTTGTGGCCAACGAGTGCAATGCTGCATCCACACTTACAAATTCATATGCATCTGTCTATTCTTCTTTTGCATGCTACTACCCTTTTATAGTGCAATGTGCATCAAGTTGGAGACTAGAGACCGTCCACTTGGCTTAGATTGCGTCTTCGGACCAAAGATAAAAGAGAACATGGGTTTGAGCACAGCCCGAGTAACTGCTTCCGCTTTTTTCAACATACTAACCATTCGGATTTTCTAGGCCCTTGCGAAGCATCTTTTTCATCAACATCCTGGTCCTCAAAGATTTCTGAACCTCACTTGCAAGCTCATTTTTACCTCCCCATCTTCTTTGGATGATCGATACAGTTTCTATTGTGCATTATTTGATTTCAAGCAAGGTATCCTTGGCTATGCTACTTACATCCAAAGCCTAAGAGATCGATTCAGTAGCTCATTGATACAATATTTCTCGTTCTATCCACAGGCTAAGGCTTGTTGAGTGAGTGGGAACAGAAGCAGCTCATCTACACATTCACACAAATCCTTAAATCTATTTAGTTTTAGGCTGACCGATGTTGACATTGAAGGCAGCCTTCGGAAGACCTCAATCTGCACAACTGCTCACAAAATATATTGTTCATCTAGAGGAATATCCAGTGAGGAGGTTCCCTGGCTAACGAGCACACAGCTCCCCAAGTGGTTGGTGCCGGTTGATATCATCTATCGGGCTTCTGCTTATTGGCGGGCTGTAAGAGAAGGACAGAGTTAATTCTGAAAAGTGCCTTTATGGGGCCTTAAATGTAGGCCTTGAGGCTCACAATCAAAATTAACCTTTAGAATCCAGGCGTGCCACTGCCATCTTTAGCATGACAGATGTAAAACCGATGTTAAGTTCTATAGTGTCTATATATACATGCCCGAACGACCCAATTAGTTATGAAAGGTGCCTTTGTAGGGCCTTAGGTGTAGGCCTTGAGGCTTCCTGTCAAAACTAACCGAATACTTGAACACATCTTGGTTGTTTCATTGTTGCATACGTCTCAACCCCGTTATACTTTAATTACCTGAGCCCGTAGAGCAGAATGAATTCAAATAGGTGCCTTTGTCAGGCCTTAGGTATAGGCCTTGAGGCTTCCTATCAGAGTTAATTCTATACTCAAGCGTTTTGTGGGAATTATGATATAACAGAAGTAAAACTAGAGAATAAGCCAATTACTTGCGCCCCAAGTAACTTTGGACTTCTGGTGATCAAGGATTGTCGTGGATGGGTTAAGTCCACATAAAGTTCTTTTTATGCCTTGAGACCAAGGACTTTTAATTGGTCAATCTTGTCTGCCCGAATGGTTAGAACTTAGAAGTCTTTTAATCAGAAACTGGCTAATAATAACTTGGATGCAGATGGAAGCATACATCATAGTACTAGATCTATGAATGAAAGACAACAACAAAGGAGGTCGGGTAAGGTTTCACCTTGTTGGGCAAGGCTGATCGTCTTGCAACTTCCTCTCTTTGTGATTTACAGAGTGTTCGAATGCTAGAAGGGGAGATTGGAAGATGAATATACATGAGGTGATCGATACTACAACAAGATTTAAACAAGGTAGCAGAGCTTTTACAAATGATTTTTGGTGAGAGTTGATCTCGATATGGATGGAGATTGGGGGCTGACTACAGCTTCGTGAAGGCAAATTTGGTTTGAGCAGAGTTTGTGCTTGTATTTGTTTGTTTGATTGAGTGTCTTTATCTCTAATTTTTCTTCCCCCTTTTATAGACGATTCAGTTTAGCTGCCTGCAGTGTTGATTTTGCCCGAATGCATCTGAAGGGCAGTGACTCATCAACCTTTTACTTGTACTGCCATTGTAAAGTACTTTCTGGGCTGATTAGCTGGCTGGTCTACACCACTTGATCCCTACGTAGGTGAGCAGGTAGTTTGAATGAGCTGCATCTAGTCGGGAAACAAGCCCCTTCTTTCTTCTGGGCTTCGGCTGGGCTTTGGACTTTTCATTCTTCTGAACCTCCTTTTGGGATTTCTTTTGGGCTAACTTCTTCTTTAACCTAAAGTTCAAGTTTTATCTCAAACATATATTAAGAGACGTGAAGATGTTTTGTTGAGCGAAATATGTTAGAGAGAGCAAGGCAATTGGATTTTTTCGCAACCATATTTTTATCAAGAGACAAAAAGGTTTTGCCGTTGAATGTACGAGTCCAGTGATTGACCTTCCTACGCGACACCTGCTTAATATATATAAGAGGATGATGACTGACTATTCAAAAATCAGGTGGATAGTAGGAGACGAGAAGTATCTCTTCCTTATTATTTATCAAATGAAAGGTATTTGATCAAGAGGACTGGAACATGCATGCTACCACAATAATGTCCATGCCGTGTTCCCCCTACCTCCCAACTCTCCTACTCACCACCTAATTTTTGTATTGTCAAAAGATCCGTAAAATACACAGTGCACGAGTTGCATTGACTATGTGTGTGATACAACAAATTGCCGTCGTCATAGTTTCTCACCTTCTGTCTTCTTTGTATAATGAAATTTGGATGACGGATCTGAATGCCAACCTTATCTTCCATATCTTCTTCCTCATTGTCGTTAAAGCACCTACCAGACCTTCAAATCAAGTTGTCTGGATGACAGATCTTAATTCATGTAAGCTTGTTCTCTGGAATGCGTTGTAAGATATGTAGAAAATGAAAATCATTTCATTAAGAGTAAAAAGAAACAAAAAACCATGAAAACACGTATGCATGCATATCATATAAAACGATATAAAATCCCGTTGGTAGGAAACGGTAGGTGGTGATTGATTCTGAAGGAGACAACTTACGTAATTAATTAATTAATTAATTAATGCAGAATAGTTTCTGCGAAGAGTGATACACAGAACTCATCGTCGGGGAGGCAGACAGGCAGAGCTGCAGTGCTGGATAGATGTTCGATCCCACATCGCTCAAGGGAGTGAATCCTCTATGCCTAATATGTACATGCCCATCTCTATCTAGCATGAGGCCTTTTGGGAGCTCACTGGCTTAGAGTTCCATCGGAACTCTGAAATTAAGCGAGTTTGTGCGAGAACAATCCCATGATGGGTGACCCACTGGGAAGTTCTCGCCTGAGTTCTCAGAAACAAAACCGTGAGGGCATGGTCAGGGCCCAAAGCGGACAATATCGTGCTACGGCGGAGTCGAGCCCGGATGTGGTGGGGGCCCGGGTTGGGATGTGACAATTTGGTATCAGAGCCAATGGACTGTTAGATCCCACATCATCCAGGAGAGTGGATCCTCTATGCCTTATATGTACATGCCCACCTCTTCCTAACACGAGGCTTTTTGGGAGCTTATTGGCTTCGAGTTTCATTGGAACTTCGAAGTTAAGCGAGTTCGCGCGAGAGCAATCCCATGATGGGTGATCCACTGGGAAGTTCTCGTGTGAGTTACCAGAAACAAAACTATGACGACGTGGTTGGGGCCCAAAGCAGACAATATCGTGTTACGGTGAAGTCGAGCCAGGGATGTGGTGGGGCCGGGCTAGGATGTGACAATAGAACTATTGACTTCATTTTATACATAGATGATGATGCAGCACCACTCCTGAGCTACATATTTTAGGGATAGTTGTGCGACGCATCACATGATATTGCTGCCAAACTGAAGATACTCATCTGATATTAGAAGTAAAATATATAGTTTATGGATCCAGATCGAATCATGTTTCTGCTCATTCAGCTGTGAGAGGATGAGTTGTTCTTATCACCCTAACCATGTAAATATATAAACAGATGCCTAAGGGAAGGAAAGTGCAAACTGAAAGCACCAGTTAAGCATAAAACTTCAAAGTAAAATTCCTCTTTTTCATTAAAAGAAAATTGCAGTCTTCCATGCTTGCTCAACAGATTGCCTTCAACATCACAACCTTTTGTTACATAATTTGATAAGCAGATATGCATGCAGATTAAAAGCTTCAGCACCATCGTCCATATGCCACAAACTCAGTGGACTTCAAGATTTATACGATTGTGTTGAAAGTTTTCTTCTTTTGCCACTAACTCAACAAGCCTTGGCCGAAAAGTACGGAGACAAATGGATCAATGAACTACTAGATGGATTCTTGAGGCTCCTGGATGTGTGTGGAATCATTAAGGATGCCATCTTGCAAACAAAAGAATGCACACAGAAACTTCAATCAATTATGCGCAGAAGATGGGGAGATGGCAGGAGCTTCATGAGTGAGGTTAAAAAATACCTTAGCTCTAGGAAGGATGTCAAGAAGGCAATTAACAGGGCCTTAAAGGTCAAGGAAAGTCAAGACAAGAACCATGAGACTCCAGCTGCTGTCAACTTGTTGAAAGAGCTAGACACAGTCACCTTCGCCGTGTTTGACTCCTTCTTGTCCTTTGTAGCTGGTTCAAAGTCAAATTCAACCACTTGGCCATTCGTTTCCAAGCTGGTGCAACCTAAAAAGAGTAGCTTGTGAGGATGAGGTGGAAGTATTCAAGATACTGAAGTCAAGCATGTTGGAAAATATTAGTATTTAGGTTTCTTTTAGTATTTGGGTTTTGCTTGTTAGTTTAGGATTTGGGTTTAGCCCATCAAAGTTATGGTTTCTTAGGTTTAGTCCTCTATAAATAGAGCTTGTAATTTAGTTTGAGAAATAAGTAGTCACAATGTAGCCTCTTCAGGTTTTGTAGCCGTTTCAGCATTCTCGTTTGTTTAATAATATTCCTATTATTTTGTTAGTTTTGTTCGTTGTGCACTCTGATATTCAACTTGGTATCAAAGCGGGTTCGATCCTTAGGGTTCAATTCGTTCTCGTTGGTATCAATTTGTCTGTCTTGCTTGTCGTTTGTTTTAGATTGTTAGTTGGTATCGATTATTTGCAAGAAAAAAAAGAAAAAAAAACAGTTCTGTTTTTTGAAAAAAAAAAAAAAATTGGTGAATTTGTCTCACACCCAAATTTGAAAAAGCTCCACCGCACCAAGATTTATGCACCAAATTTGAAAAAGCTCCACCGCACCAAGATTTCTGCATCCCTCCAGACCCACCGCCGTTGTCTCATTAGGCATAGAATCCGCAGGTGCTCTTGTCCACAGATCCATGTTCTGCAAACCAGCATGTGTTTTGTAGAAGTCATAAAAAAAACAAAAAAAAGGAAGGAAGAAGGAAGAAAAAAGGAAGGAAAAAAAATGGTTGTTTTGATGTTTTGTGGCCCCCGTATTCTTGCATTGGGTATGGTAACTTGAACTTGGAATGGAAATCAGCATCGGTATTGGCATCGGCATCGGCATCAGAATTGACATCGGCATCGGCATTGGCACAAGAATTTGGAGTTTTACATCCACATCTACTTTGGCAAACCCATGTCGTGTACCGCCATGAGTTTGACGGGGGTGTTGGAAAATATTAGTATTTAGGTTTATTTTAGTATTTGGGTTTTGCTTGTTAATTTAGGATTTGGGTTTAGCCCATCCGAGTTAAGATTTCTTAGGTTTAGTTCTCTATAAATAGAGCTTGTAATTTAGTTTGAGAAATAAGTCAGTCATAATGTAGCCTCTTAAGGTTTTGTAGCCATTCCGGCATTCTCGTTTGTTTAATAATATTCCTATTATTTTGTTAGTTTTGTTCGTTGTGCACTCTAATATTCAACTAAGCAAATATGATTACACCGTGCAAGTCGACAATGTTCAAAATTTGCTCCAAGAACTGGAGGCAAATATTCAAGATACTGAAAAAGGAATTGAGGGACAGTTTAGGTGCTTAATCAAAGCCTGAGTCTCTCTTCTGAACATATTCAACAATTAGGCATGAAAATCATCATGCAGTATGATAGAAATCGAATTTTGTAGAGATTAATCATACTTGTATATGAAAGAGATAATTGTGTACATATTTTCTCATCAAATCCAAAAGTACCATATTCCTTTGGCACAAATTATATCCGTTCTACTCCATTGATTTGTCCATGCTTTTTCTTATGCTAAATTCTGTCCATCTTTCTTAATTGTGCAAGACGGATGATAAACAGTGCAGATGAAGTAACTTATGTTAGAAATTTAATATTTAAATATTAGTATTATTAATATTTTAATATTAAATATTCAAGTGAATGAAAAATTAAAGTGGTCATGGAAAGGTTTGACCGGCAGATTTTCAAGGATTGTGTATGTTTAAAAGGGCTGCATGGCTGCAACTTTTTGTCATTTGGAAACTGATGCAATTTTGAATAAAGATAGCATCTCTTGATCTGGAAACAGATGCAACTTTAAACAAAGGTTGCATCCTTTGTCTTTTGGAAAGCAGACGCAATCTTTGAAAATGGGACATGTCAATGTCTATATAAATAGACCACCAAGTCAAGCATTTTAGATATAGTTTTGCATCCAGAAATTATATAGAAATTAGAGTAGTTTAGTGTTGAAGAAAGAGAGAGTTTTAAACACTTTTAGTTCGTTGTTCTTTGTAGATTGGAGTGCTACTTCCGCAAAGAGAAAGATCGTTGTATCCTGGGAGATATTTGCCAACGCAAACCTTGAGGCACCATTGAGGGGCAATCTTGTCTTAAGGCTATAGAATCAAATTCTAGCCTCGATCTCTTAAGGTTGTTCTATTCCTTGTTCTTCTTGCATTTATAGAAATTTTATTGTGTATTATTTAATAGTTTATAATAGATTATATATAGCAGTTTTCCATAGTTTTTCCATCAACTTAAGACAAGACTGGTTTTGTTAAATTGTTATATTTTATTAGCCAAGTTTAATTAAATAATCTTGTGGGTTACGGTGTTAAGAAACTAAAGTCTATTTGCTTCATAATACTTTGTTGCTTTTACTTTGATTATAATATATTAAATTGTGTGATTTTCTCTCTTAAGGGAAAATGGATGATACTAGTAATTCTTCTAGTAAACTGGGCAACACGTCAATTACGAGTGTTGTGCCCATGGTGATCCCAACTTCCACCAATCATGGTGAAAAACCTGAGAAGTTCAATGGGACAGACTTCAAGAGGTGGCAACAGAAAATGTTATTTTACCTCACCACTCTGAACTTGGCAAAGTTTTTTACTGAAGATGCGCCTGTGTCTGGAATTACTGCAGAAGAAGTGGGTGCATTAGATGCATGGAACCATTCTGATTTTCTTTGCAAGAATTACATCTTCAATGCATTAGATAATGCACTATACAATGTGTATAGTCCAATTAAAAATGCAAAAACCTTATGGAACTCTCTTGACAAGAAATATAAGACTAAAGATGCCGGCATGAAGAAATTTGTGGTCGGTTGATTTCTTGACTACAAGATGACAAACTCCAAGAAGGTTATCAATCAATTCCAAGAGCTACAACTTATTCTTCATGAAATACATGTTGAAAGGATGTCGCTAAGTAAGACCTTTCAAGTGGCTGTAGTAATTGAAAAATTACCTCCTGCTTGGAAAGATTTCAAAAATTATCTCAAGCATAAGCGCAAAGAGATGGGACTTGAGGATTTAATCATAAAATTAAGGATAATCGTTGCTCTGAAAAGAAGTCTAACTATCACATCCCGGAATCGACTCCGCCGTAGCACGATATTGTCCGCTTTGGGCCCCAACCACGCCCTCATAGTTTTGTTTCTGGGAAGTCAAGCGAGCAGAACTTCCCAGTGGGTCACTCATCCTGGGAATGCTCTCCCCCGAACTTGCTTAACGTCGGAGTTTCAATGGAATCCGAAGCCAGTGAGCTCCCAAAAAGCCTCGTGCTAGGTAAACATGGGAATATACATATAAGGTTTGCATGATCCACTTCTCTGGGCGATGTGGGATGTTACAATCCACCCCCCTTAGGGGCCCAACGTCTTCGTCAGCACACATTCGGCCAGGGATTGACTCTAATACCAAATTGTCACATCCCGATCTGGGCCCCCACCATATCCCGGGCTCGACTTCGCCGTAGCACAATATTGTCTGCTTTAGGTCCCGACCACACCATCACAGTTTTGTTTCTGGGAACTCACACGAGAACTTCCCAGTGGGTCACCCATCCTGGGAATGCTCTCACGCGAACTTGCTTAACTTCGGAGTTTCGATAGAACCCAAAGCCAGTAAGCTCCCAAAATGCCTTGTGCTAGGTAGAGATAGGAATATACATATAAGGCTTACATGATCCACTCCTTTAGGCGATGTGGGATATTGCAATCCACCCCCTTAAGGGATCCAACATCCTCGTCGACACACTTCTGGCCAGAGATTGGCTCTAATAACAAATTGTCACATCCCGGCCCGGGCCCCCACCACATCCTGGGCTCGGATCCACCATAGCACGATATTGTCCACTTTGAGCCCCGAGCACGCCCTCACGGTTTTGTTTCTGGGAAGTCACGTAAGCAGAACTTCCCAGTGGGTCACCCATCCTGGGAATGCTCTCGCTTGAACTCACTTAACTTCAGAGTTCCGATGAAACCCAAAGCCAATGAGCTCCTAGAAGGCTTAAGGCCCTCAAGCCATGTCCTTTTACCTTAGGCCTTTGGCCTTTGGGGCCAGGACTTAAAACAAAATCCTTTTAAGTCAATTTCCTTAAAGCCTTTCAGCCCAAACCCTTTTTATTTTATTTATTTTGTTTTCTGTTTTAAAACCCAAAGGCCTTGGGCCTATTATGTTAGGGCCTTAAGCCCGTTAGCCACTAAACCCTTTAAACCTTTTAAACCTATACCCTTTTTAATTATTAGACCCCAAAACCCAAAGCCCTAACTAGCCCAAACCCTTTATGGAGAATATTCTGTTAGGGAATATCCCATTAGGGAATATTCCATCGACTTTTACGAAATTTATCCGGGACCCTTTTCAGGGTAATTCGACGTTCTGAATCTGTTTCCAATGTCTCTTTTCCCAAATTCAATTGTTATAATAGAGTTTTATTAATTGGACCCTTTATGTGCTTAGGGGCAATTATTGTGGCGTTTCCGTCTTCGCTAGTTTGCATGGTTCTTCAATGGTGAAGTATCTGTGAGTGGATCCCTTCTAAAATGCATGTTTTGAATATAGAAATGCATACATGAAAAGCATGATTTAATGATTATGTTCTATGAAACGCTTTGAGGTAACGTGCTTATTGAGGCTAGATTGAATTACTACTATTTTTTCTATAACCTATGTTCTTATATAATATCTGATGGATAACGATATGATCTACAGAACATGTTTTGAACACCTCTTTACAATATAGATGATGGATGATTTTATACTATGAAGTTTCTTTTCAATATAGACATGTTCAATGGTTTTGTACTTACCTAGTGGTCCTTTTTGCTACGGGACGTAGGGATAAATTCCAGTTCGTCCCGGGCAACGGTTTGGTTTTGGCATAGGGCTTGGAGTGTGTTTCCTCTGGCTATTTAGCACAGGGATGAGGAGCCAACATAGGGCCTGAGGGTTATTGGACATTCACTAGTGATTATTATATATACAAGTTATGATTTGAGACATTGCACAGCATACTAGGTTTCAGAAAACCTATGTTTATCATGATATATGAGTTTTCATAAAACCTGGGGGTTAGTGCGTTGATAACTG